TTTGTGTCCTCTTCAAGGACCTGAGCAGCACGAATGCCGAAGTGCACGTTGGATGCTTTCCCTTGTAGTTAGGGGAAAGGCACGCTACAATCGCAGCTGCCAAAGTACTCGGAGGAACTAGGCTACAGACTGCTGGGCAGTCTCTGCAAAACAACGTTAGTGGGACTAACTAAACGTATAAACAGCATGTGTTTCACGTGTGCTACGTTCACTCTCGGTAGAACTATAAAACTCTTCCTGTGGCTACTAAAATCAGCGATTTCGTCTTTTGACAGGTGCTTTGGCGCAATATGTGAGCTGCTTAGAACTGGTGAACAAAAGACTGCCTTGTGGCCTTGCTCAAATTGGAGTGTGCTTTCACTCTCTTCCAGAAAGTGAACAACTCAACAGAAGCCTTAGAAGGTACAGTAACAGAGGGGTTAATCCCTTTTCGTACTTAAACCAACTGTTTGCACTTGTTTTGCTTTTGGATTACTTTTGAACACCGTATCTTGCTTTTTCCCTGTTATTTTTGAAGGAGTTAACTTGCTGACCTTGCTATTGTTTAAAGAATAGGCGAAAGGACCACGTCTTTGCTTGCATGGTTTAGTTCTCCCAGAACTGCAGGACAGTGGCTCGATTACTGGTTACGCCAGAGACTCCAATGGTGGAGAAAGGTAACAGCAGCGTACCCCTGGGAAACCTTGGCCTGCCCCTTTATATCTCAGGGAGAGGGGGGAATCGACACCCTGATGGGTTTTATGGCGTTACATCGCTTGCCTATTCTTGTCGCTGAAATACGTGTATTTCTTGTGAGAAACCAAAAAACTATTTAAGTTTGTGAGAAGCAGTGAAGTAGTTTACAACATGACTTGCGGAAAGGCAAATGTTTGGTGTTTGTAGTTGATTTGAGATCAAAATGCTGTAAAACAATAAAGAGACTTGGGCTGTAATTCATAAAAATCTTTTGCTGGAAATCATAGACTTCAGCTTGCGTTACAGACGTGTTTTTTGTAGCTAATACAGCACGCGCAGTAGCGATCACCTCTTACATCTTTAATTTTCAGTTTGCAGTAGGCCCATCCAACTTCAGCAGCAGTGACTTTCAGGATGAAGAAGGAAGAAGAGGATTTAATTTACATTACAGCTTTCCTTGGGGGACGGAAACAATAGAAACACTGAAGAACCTTGGTGATACCGAACTGTTACAGATGTATCCAGGGGATAGTTCAAAATTACTTGTAAGCTTTACTACATTAAAAACCTTTTTTGATAAAGATGATAACGTGTGAGAGAAACGGTTTCTTTGCTGGCCCAGTTGCTTAGCATGTGACTATCTCTTTATTTTGTTGTAAAAGCAGTACAATTCATACTCTGCAGTCAGTCCTTCATTTCCAAAAGCAGATAAAATACTGTTGTTTGGTTGGTTTTTCTTTTTGCAAGGAGTTAGTTCTTTGAAATTAGAAATTATCTATATTGACAAGATGGCTGTTGTCAGCTGCATAGCCTTTATCTGTGAGTAGATGTCAAGACAAACTCAGTCTGTGTTTTGCAGTGTTAAGTTTGCATCCAAAAGAACCTGTAAATGTTTTTTCTTTCTGTACTTGTCCAATTCTATATATGTAGGAGTATATATGGGTTAATGGATTAGAAACACTGCAAATGGCTTTGTAGAAGCTACCACACTCAGAAGGGGGAATGGACCAGAGGGAAACCTTTCCGCTGAATATACTGGTGAGGGACAAACTTCTAGTGAATGGCAATGTTTGAAAAGTCGGGCTGAACAGATAAAATGAGAGCAACTTAGTATTTTACCAGTAAATTGCAACCTTTAGCTTCTCGTGACAGTCCTGTCTGTCTCTCCTGGTTTTGCAGCTTATTGCTATACAGAAGGCAGAAGACTGTAATGTAACCTACAAAACTGTGGGTTACGTAGTGATTTCTCAGAATGTGGGGACGTATCCTTGTGGTCGCTTGGAAGTAATCTACAAACCTCCAAAAGAAAATGCAGAGTTTCAAGTGTATTGGCCATAGATTTAAATTTATGATCAGGGAGGCAGGACAATAAATAAATCCCATCCTGCTCTGATCTGCTTTCCCCAGTGTTACAATCTTACCTAGTTACGGTTACACTTTTAAGATTGCTGGTAACTTTTTAAAATATATGTCTGATTGTATTTTAAATGTAGTAAGGGTGCTTGAGCTCCATGCCTCATTATACATTTGAAGTAAACAAAAGGCCCTTTGAGACAGTATTTGAGGTATCCCTTTGTGGCTTTTTTTTTTTTTTTCTCTTCAGGGCCGAGATGGAAGGAAGAATGTTATTCCTCATGTTCTGTCTGTGAGTGGAAATCTGGACCGAGGAGCATTAGCGTATCTCTTTGATTCTCTACAGCTAGCTGAGAATCCATTAACAAAAAAGAAAAATTCACAGAGAAAGGTAACTTTTTGTAGAAAGTGTAAGGAAGAATGGATGATGGAAGGCAGGGGCAGGTCTTAAGTACAAAACCCACAGACGATGTGGTAAATTCAAGGATGGAAACATCTCCCTTTTCCTCACCTCCGTCCTCTGTTCCCTTCCCCAGCAGGTGCAGACAGAATGCTTTTCGCTGGTAGCAATAGGCGGCCCCACGGGACTGCCTCTGCAGTCCTTTTCACCCACATAAGCCATTTTTCTCTCCTTCTGAGGTCACCTTTCCTGTTTTACCTCCTTTCTCTCTGATGAGAAGGTAGGCTCTTGCCATGCAAGTGATGAAGGAGTTAAAAGGAGTTGGAACGTAGCTGCTGTGCATGGGAAAGAGGACTTTGTCTCTTCCAGCAGCATTTGAAGGTTGCTGAGAAGGGTAGAAAAAGTGGGTTGCAGGTGGTAGTGGGGTATTTCCCCAAGGACCATCATTATTCCCACTTTCACCCTGGTTTTCTGGCGTTAGAGTGCCAGCTTTCAGACAGCACTCGTTAATCAAACAGCTGTTTGGTAACAGGCAGTAGAGTGGAGGGTAACTGCTGGGCTGTCTCCGATCACTCTGGCTCCTTTGAAGATGATGGAGCTCTGCTAACAAAACTTCGACTCTTTTCTGGGGCTCAGCCGAAACGGAGCAATTTCTGCCACACTAACCTAGCTGGCATGTCTGCTAGCTATATAAAATACAGTTTGCTTCTAATTCAGGATTTTGTGCTATGAGAAAACTTTTGCACGTTTAGAACATTAATTTCAGTGAAAAAATGTTAATATTTCCCAGGTCTGTTTAGAATTTCACACTAAATACATGTAGTAATCCATTGCTTTTTGTAAAATTATCAGGTACTTAAGCTTCATCCTTGTTTAGCACCTCTTAAAGTGGCCTTGGATGTAGGAAAAGGTCCAACAACAGAGCTGAGACAGGTACGTTGTAAGAAAGTATTTGAATTTTGAGCATTGACTTCCCATGTAACCTTCTATTACAATTCAGACGCTGTTTACGTTGAGGAAATCATGCTGCTGCTTCGATTCTTGGAGATTCATGGTTGTACAGATTTTACACTGTCGTACAGATTTTTACTACGCTATGCAGTTTGTGAGTCACAGCCAAAGGAGTACACTGCAGGCAGGCAGTGGGTGGTAGATGCCTTCCTTGTGTTAACGCACTGCTTTTAGTACTATTAATAGAGTTGATACTTGTTCCATGCAAAATTAAGGAAAATAACACAATCCCTCTCAGCTTCTTAATCTTTCAGAATTATCTTAATGCATGGGTCACATCTCCAGAAGGATTTTTAAAAAGTTTTTATTTAAGTCAGTCATTAAGCCAGTCCCCACAGAAGGGAGGAAACTTACACTGGCATGTTTTTAAATAGAAATGGAGATTTCATTGCCAGGCTGCTTTCTACGTTGAGATTATTTCAGCCAGAAAATTAACACCAGCTAGGAATGCTAATACCATGCGTACTAGAGTTTTAATGGTTTCTTTGTATAGGATTTCAAACCCTCAAAGTCTGTCTTTTAACTTTTGTTTTTAAATAAACACAGGTTTGTCAAGGATTGTTCAATGAACTGTCAGAAAATAGAATTTCTGTATGGCCGGGTTATCTTGAAACCATGCAGGTATCTCTGGAACAGCTTTATACAAAGTAAGGAGAAACAGTCTTTTGTAAATTAAACTATGAAGGTGAAAGATGACTTTCTGTGGACTAGCGAAAATATGCCTGTTTTCAGTAAGAAGTCATCGAGTGCAGTAACCACATGACTGAAGGCATGTATCCTGAACTATAAACTTGGATTCAATTAGTTTTATTACGAAGAGCAATGTCAGATAGTTCAGTTTTAAAATTAAGTGAAGTGTAAGCCTTTCACGTGGTGGTGGTGTTTCTCTGGAACTGTGAAATGCCTTTTAGAGACTCCTCTTGAAAATAAATTTGTTAAGATGAGTCACAAGCTCACAGAACTGTTGCCCACCCTCACCCCCCATTTTTGCATCTCCACTGGTTCTGTGCTTCATTCTTAAGCACTATTTTAAATAGCACACTGTGTCTAGTCTTGAACTTAAAGTTCTTCCAAGTCTGGAACCATTACCATTAGTGTATGTGATGGAATTATTTCTGCAGATAAAAACTACTATTCCAGTTGAGGGCTTCATATATGATTTGTTGATCAGGAGTGAATTTTGAGCATATCGCTGCTCATGTCAATGGATCTCAAGCACATTGATGAATATTTTTTCCCGAGAGAAAATAAATATGACTATTTGTTCTGTGCAGTAGTCTTCAAAATAAGTCTGGCTATTAAATAACAGAAGAAAGATATATTCTGCTTCTATAAAAATAGTCTTGTAATAGATCACCAAATAACATTCTTTTCACGTACTAAAGTAAATAATTTAAAGAAATGTAATCAGGAAAGCAAGGAATGGCAATAAGAAAACAGGTGTCTTCACACTGGACTTCGTGCAGTATAGCAAAAATAAATATTTACAGCTTATGGTCATTTGTACATAACTTATCTGAATTTTTCGTACACCAAAAGCGGTAACAGGTGTGCTCTTTTCTTTGCAGGTACGATGAGATGAGTGTTCTCTTCACGGTCTTGATAACTGATGCCACTCTAGAGAATGGAGTGGTCCAGCTGAGAAGCAGAGACACCACCATGAAGGAAATGATGCACATTTCTAGGCTGAAGGACTTTTTAACTAAGTACATAACATCAGCCAAAAATGTGTAAACTTAAATTCGTTGAATAAAAGGAATTTCTTAAACATCTGTGCCTGAACTGACTTCTGTGGTGTCACGGACTCAGTGGTTTCTCTGCAAATAGTTCTGCTAAAACTTGGTGGTGCATCTGTTCTCTGTCAAATCTAGACTACCTAGGTCTTCCAGGTCACCTTGAAAAGAGGGAAGAGACAAACTTGTCCCTCGTTAGCAGGGCTAACCATATTCTCTCTCATGGCTTCAGTTTTACTATCTTATTGAAAATACTCCATCCTAACCTAAAAATTCATTTCATCTGTGTATTGCTGACACAATTATGGTCTCTGCTGGAAAATGGTATTTTATATATAAGACTTCAAAATCTTAAATGTTTTAATAACATCAGTAAGTATCTTTGTACTATCTGTAGGAATGTATTTTAATCACATGGCCTCAGTTCTTCAACATTTAAGCTACTTCATCTTGCACTTGATAAACATAAAAATCAGAAATACATTATCAAGAGTAACAGAGGAAATAGAAGAAATAAATTGTAAACAGTTTTTGACAAGCATTTTTGTGGACAAAAAATGTCCGTACATAGAAAATGATGGAAAAAGACTAATGTGTGATCGCATTTATCTTATACCTAAGTATTGTAGTCAAAATCAGATGCAAGAGTTTGCATAGATACGAAATTGAGTGATTCTGATCTTCTGTAGGTTTACTATGTGTGCACAGCTTGTTAAGTCACTGTATGAAAGTGCTGTAAGGTGTATGCAACAAGGCATGTGGCCACTGATAGTCATCAATGTCATGAAACAAAAGAACTCGCCTTAAAAATTTCTTCTATTAACATGGTGCTTATTTAACTATAAATGGGTTGTTTGTAACAATAATACTAATTGCTGCATAGTGTAATTATGCTAGATGTAATGCAAGGTTAGCATAGTGTGGCTGTGTGACTTACTGAACTCATGGAATTCTACGTAAGCTGGCTATGGAATGACATTAAAACAATCCAGAAACCTCTAAGAAACAGCCTATACTGGGATGCAGAATTTGTTTTGGAGTTAACTGTCCCAAAAATTAATTTTGGCATCCTATCCCTACCCTGAGAGCTGAAGTAATGTGGAACTGAGAAATTGCCATCCTTGCTGCTAGGTAACAGCAGGTACAGAGGCCAAACATGGATCTTCTGGTGTGTGCCTAAGAGGACAACACAGCTGGGATTTTTTTTTTTTTTTTAATACTTGACTAAAGCCTTTTGATTATCTTCTGTTTGCATACAATCCAGTTTCTATTTCTGGAGACTTGTTAAATGTACAGGAACTTGGGTCTGGGTGAAAGCTTTACATCATTTATTCCTTTCCATTTATTCATCAGATGCATATAATGCCAGACTACATATTGTGTCCAGCAGGACCTTACCTGACAGCGATTGCATTGTTTTGTTTTGTTTTGTTTTTTATGGTGCTGTTTGGGCAATAAGCTACTGTTTGTCTAATGGGATTGCTGTTTGGGTCTTCGTTAATGCCAATTTTTGTCCGTTCTGCTTTTTCTTTTAAATTTAAGTCCCTAGAGATTATGACTTGGGGATTTTGCTTGCTAGTAGAGAACGAGTTATATTGTCTGTCTATGAAATAATTAGGCCAGGAAACTAGTATCTAAACATCATCTCTTTCTGTGCAGACTTGGTGGTACTTATCACATCTGAGGACTGAAAGATTCTTTAAAAAGACATTATTAAGTTAATCACAAAAGAGATCTTACCTTGTACTCAGTCTCTGATGAGGACCTTTGAATAGACTGTAGCACACGCCCTCTTCTCTGCTAAAAGCCAGAATAACATAATTAATTTTTTTTTGGTACAGATACACATCAGAAGAATTAATATTCCATCAGCAACTTGGTCACTAATAACATCTCCTGCATGGTTTCATAATGAGGCTGTTGAATTTTTGCATCATAGGATGGTGATAGGCTTTTTACTGGGAGGGAGTTGTTTACTTTTTCCCCCCTCAAAAGAGTCTTAAAGTTATTTTAATTTCTCCATAGTAAGTAAGCGATTTCAGTATGTAACTGCTACTATCCAAACCCTGCCTCCCCCCAGCAAAATCCCCCCGAAACATATTTGTGCGCATCAGATGTTCCAATATTATAGCTTGAGGTTTTCACCTTTTTCATCTTCTTTAATATCAGAAAAGTTGACGTATTCTTCTTCTGGTTTAACAGGCTCTGGATTAAAGATGACGAAAACCAGTTAACTCAATTACAAGAGACTGATCAGATTTTTTTTTTTTTTTAATAATCTTGAAACAAAGCAGTGGGATTCCATATTGCATATAAATCTACCATGCTTTCTGTAGCGTTCATGGGCCTTATCAGAGCTACTGTCACTGTCCTTACAGGCTATGTGGGTAGAATGCTGATTGATATCTGGCATGAGCAGCTGCACAGAGCACTGAGCTAACACAGCAGAGCAGCTAGAATTCTACTATATGAAGAGGAAGGCAGATTTGTTCGGAGAGAATGATTCCCTTTTTGATACTTAGAAACAGGGAACATAATACCTTTGCTGTTGGTTTGTTTTGGGGGTTGCTTTTTCCCTGGAAAATATTGACGTTTACATATAAGGCAAATGCAGAAAACTACAAGATAATAGCATCGTGGCTTTCATGTAATGTCTTCATTATTGTGTATTTTCTGCGATTGAAGTAGTACAGTGTCTTAACGTAGGTCAGTTGCTTTGTTGTCCAGCATTACTTCATAATTTCAGTTTGGACTGACAGTCTTGTCAAAGTTAAGAAACATGGAATAAAGAACTGTTATGTACTGAACAATTTTGAACAGAATGCAGGTGCTACTTAAGTTTTATTTTGCTACAACTTGCATATAGCCCACTTTTGTCGCTTAGTAAATGGGCATTGCACCTCCGATCTACTTACTGTCTTTTAATTTTCTTTTCCTCTGTAATGGCTATTTCAGTCCTCACCATGAGTTGCCAAATGCAATTCTTCATTTTACTTCTGTTTACAGTAGATTTTTGTATAGAACTTCAGTTCACTTAACCAGTTGCAGTTTTGGCTGCATGGCTGACAGGTAGCGCCAAAGATGGATCCTGAGGGACTTCAAATAATTCCTCTGCCAGGCATGGTCAGTAGTAGCATTAGCTCACTTACTGAGTGGTAGTAGGTGTCCCCTTCCACTGCTTTTGCAGTACCTGTAGAAATTTGCCCATACTAGCTACAAATAGTATAATAGCATTCTTCAACCAAACTCCCACAAGTAAGTTTCATGACTGCATGGGGAGTAACAGGCACTTACCAATCTCTGTGTATATGACATAGTTTTCAGACTCCTCCGCATTCATTGTTGAAGCAAGGCCAGTTGAAGACCTAGTAGACTTGAATTTTTCTGCAAATTGCAAAAGAAAAACAAACACATGCCTATATACATATATAAATTTTTCTTAGAGGGAAATAAACGGCTCCGTATTTTTTGCATACTTGGAGATCGCAGATAATGTTATTTTCATGATAAAAATTACTCCTTAGCCAAGGGCATTTTTAATAGAATTTCCTTTCTTTACTAAGAACAATGAGGTCCAATTCCTTCCAACATTTACGTGTATTAAATTAGATGTTGCTTTGCTTCCCCCATCCCAGACCTGCCATCTAAAACATAGCTCAGAGGTTTTGCCTTGTCAATGTCTTGTTAAGTTGGCTATGCTGGTGAAGAGGAGACTTGACAACATCCTAAAATACCAAGAGGGTAACTCTACTTGTAACATGGTGTTTACACTCTAAAATGTGTTGACAACATAAATGAGCACCTCTGGAAAATGAAACAGACATTCAAATAACTCACTTGCTTTATATGAAGGAATGATGAAAAATGGAATTGCCAGAGCAAATCCTATTATGAATAGTAGCAGGATCAGTCCAAGAGAAATTATCAGGGGCTGAGAATGGCTTCTTTCTTCTGCCAAAAAGAAAAAAAAAGGTGTTTATGCAATGAAATGTTGTTTCATATTTTCTGTAAATTAAAATCAAGACTTTGCATTTTGAACATTATATTGCAGGAACAAAATTTCTGGCTAAAATCTTGCATTGTTACAACATTCTGAATTTTGTGTAGTGTCCCTGTTTATCGGCAGTGGTAAAATGTTTCACGCATGCATACCTTCTAATGTAAAGTTGAAACTGTTGCTGTATTTTGTATTATTGCAAAAGCTATTCTCAGCTCTGCATTTATAGGTTCCAAAGTCACTAGAGGAATTGATAAATAGAAAAATCACAGCTGCTTCCCTCTTTCGCATCTTCACTGGGGGAGAGATGCTTTTTCTTCCTTTGAAGAATATGTATGAGATAGGAAGAGAGCCGTTCTCTGAGAGACAAAACAGGGTCACATTCTGGCCTTTCTTTGCTTGAGAGGTGGGTGAGCTCAGCACTGGCTTGGAAATTGGCTCTGTAAAAAGAAAACTGAAAAGACTGCATCACTGAGTACAGGACAAGCTCCAAAGCAAGACCCAGAGTTAAGCGGCAACATTGGCAAGTGAGATGGGCTCAAGGATGGAGGGCTCGGTGATCCAGATCAGAATAGCACTGCCAGCTCCTAAGGAAATAACAGCCATTTGCAGTACAGTTCAGCTCCGCAATCAAGGCAGGCACACGCTGCAGTACAAAACAGTACCTGCCACAAACAAAGCCCTGACTCCTGCTGCTGCAGATACATTGCATCAGGCATGGCTACATGCCCCTAAAATAAAATGTGCTGAGAAGGTATACAGCAAGACATACCTATAAGGGTGAAGTTGAGACTGTTGCTGTATTTTCCGCCACTGGAGATGTTATTCTCAGCTTTGCATTTGTATTCACCCACGTCACTGGCAGAGTTGATAGTCAAGTTAAATAAACCAGGGGTCAAGTCTGGCATATTTAAAGTAGATATCTTCTGACTGCATTTAAACAATGTGTATCTGACAGGTGGAGATCCAGAGTCTGAGTGGCAGGAGAGGGTCACGTTCTGGTTCATCACCACATTCAAAGTCCCCTGAACAGGTATGAGCATGGGATTGGACAGCATCTCTAGAAAGAAGAAACTTCTGAGTGAGTTCACTGCATCTATCCTCCAAGAAACTCTCAGAATTTTCACAAAATATGTTGAGGACCAAGCTATACTTATTTCTGTTGAAATAGGGGGTTATATTTTTTCCACCTCTGGTAGCGGGCAACACAACTTTGTATTTTTCAAAATCAGTACGCAGCTTCACACACGTGATGAAAAATACATGTCTTCATACAAAAGAGAGCATATACACACAAAGCCAGCAGATGTATCCAGATGAACCAACAAAAATACTCTTGAACTACAGTAGCAATGAAAATAATAGAAGTATAAAAGATAAATATTATGGGGTGTTAATTGTAGGAGAAAGTAACCTTATGCGCTATTTGAGAGGTAGTGTAGGAACCTGAAAGTAAAAGCAGTATTTTATTTGTGGCCGTATGTAAACAGGCAGAATTAACCTTGTATAAGTAGATCAAACTTTTGAATAGTAGCAGCAGGAGCCTTGATGGTCTATCAAATTAGTTTGCTTTTATGAGAGCATACAAATAAATTTGTAATAAAAATTTGTAATGTCTTTTCATAGAAAATAGTAATAAACTAGTCATGACTAAGATAAATTATGACACTTCTAGAGAGGAAAAATATTTTAACAACTTAAAGCAATTTTGACTGTACATACAAGTCAGCAAAGAGACAGTTAACTTTGTATAGAAACTTATAGAATCATAGAATAGTTTGGGTTGGAAGGGACCTCTAAAGGTCATCTAGTCCAACCCCCCTGCTGTGGGCAGGGACATCTTCAACTAGATCAGGTTGCTCAGAGCCCCGTCCAACCTGACCTTGAATGTTTCCAGGGATGGGGCATCCACCACCTCTCTGGGCAACCTGGGCCAGTGTTTCACCACCTTCAGCATAAACAATTTCTTCCTTATCTCTAGTCTAAATCTACCCCCCTTTAGTTCAAAGCCATTCCCCCTTGTCCTGTCGCAACAGGCCCTGCTAAAAAGTTTGCCCCCATCTTTCTTATAAGCCCCCTTTAAGTACTGACAGGCTGCAGTAAGGTCTCCCCGGAGCCTTCTCTTCTCTAGGCTGAACAACCCCAACTCTCAGCCTTTCTTCATAGCAGAGGGGTTCCATCCCCCTGATCATTTTCGTGGCCCTCCTCTGGACCCGCTCCAACAGGTCTGTGTCTTTCTTATGCTGAGGGCTCCAGAGCTGGACACAATACTCCAGGTGGGGTCTCACCAGAGCAGAGCAGAGGGGCAGAATCCCCTCCCTCGCCCTGCTGGCCACGCTGCTTTGGATGCAGCCCAGGATACAATTGGCCTTCTGGGCTGCGAGCGCACATTGCTGGCTCATGTCCAGCTTTTCGTCCACCAGTACCCCCAAGTCCTTCTTGGCAGGGCTGCTCTCAACCCCTTCATCCCCCAGCCTGTACTGATACCGGGGGTTGCCCCGACCCAGGTGCAGGACCTTGCACTTGGCCTTGTTAAACCTCATGAGGTTCACACAGGCCCACTTCTCGAGCTTGTCCAGGTCCCTCTTGTAAACTGCCTCACTGCACAGACAGGGGCAAAATATTTAATTTTACATGAAGGTTTTGGACATTTTTAAATCTCTCCCCCATTTTTTTTTAAGTCGATTTCAGCACATACCCCAAAACAAAAAAGAGAACCTACCTTTGCCACTTGTAGTAGTTTCCTGAATCTGCTGAGACGTTTGAACTAAGAGAAGAAAAAAAAGCTTCCAGACAAGAAACAATGGTTCTTGTTTAGAAAGATTTGTAATATGTAAGAAGTATGTCCTTGGCTTATGGTAGGAAAACAGCAGAATTGTGAGAAAAAACATCTTCTTGATACTGAGCAAGACAGCTGGTGGAGTTACACTAATAAGATCTTGGAGGAGTGGCTCTAGGGGTTGAGGAAGTCCTAAATATGGCACAGTGCTGATTACTGATGTTTGCGTAAAGACTTTTTTCATATTCCACTTACATTTAGCCTATGGCAGACAGAGCAGTGGGCAGAAGAAAAAGCTGTGGAGTGAGGAACATCAGTTTGGGATACAACTAAATGTTACATACAGTTGCTCTAAGATGTAGCTGACATGTCAGCTTTTCGATGTGAGAGCTGTGTGGTAGAACCGTGCTGCCATGCAGCACACAAGACCGTATATAATTTTTCTAGCACTGTTCTTCCAAGGGAATGAGATTACTGATTCATATCAGTCACCTATTTGCTAGAGATAATGCAAGTGATCATATGGCTGAGACTAAGGGAGTACGTGGTACTGGTTTTTTTTAGCAGCAATGTAATTTAAAAAAAAATTGTCCCCCCCAAAAAAATCTATAGAAGTTTTAAGATGCTAATAAATATTTATAGCTAGCCAGCTTGTCAGGGAAATATTTTGGTCAAACTTCAAATATTAAGCTGTACTAGAAGGTACAAATCTCAACAGAAACTTGAGTTCAACACCACTGCAGAAACAAATTTGGTGACTAATTTGATCATCTAACCAGTAATACACGGCTACATAATTGCAGTTACAGCAAGTAGATGTTCTTTATTTGTCATCCTCTGGGTAGAGTAAATGTAATCTTTAGCTATACATGGGCAATGCCTTCTGAAGAACTCTAGGCCCTGTTGTACGTGGAGAAGTTCACTGCTTACATAGAGAATGCCTTAGAAGTGTTTTTGTGACCCTTATTTCTTATTTCTTTCTCCCCAGTTTCTGAAGGTAACAAGACAAGGCCCTACAAAGTCTGTCCTCTTCTGTGTAATCCAAAATTACTCCCAAAGCCTGGTCTGTTGCAGCATTGCAAAGTTTCCTCACAGAATTTTGTGTGCAACTAACTTCCTCCTTGTGTGTGTTGTTTGGTGGTTTTTTTTGGTTTAATTTCTTTTAAGACAATCTCCACCCTCCCCTCACAAATGTTTCTTATGTGAAAACGCTGACAACTAACCACAAGACCGGAGTATTTTTTTGCAGCTGGCAGGAAGCATGTGTAAAAATGCAGCTGTCAGGAGAACTGGGAGCATTTGTGCATTTTCTGGCTGTGGGAGCCCGTTCTTTGTCAGAAAAACCACAAAAAGGTCCTTAAGATGCTCGCAGCCAGGTGATGGAGGAGGAGAGGTGTCCCGAAAGCTGCGAAGGAGCCCGGTGTCTCACCCTCCTGTCAGGAGGAGGGAGCGGCCGGCCCGCGGCAGCCGCCGGGCGGCTCTCTCGGTCCC